TAGCTTTTTTTATTCTGTGATCCATCCTCCTTATTTATTTTTGTTTTGTTTTTATTTTTTTTTGTAAATAATCAACACACTCACACTACATATAAACAGACAATATAAAAAAAAAAAAAGTTTTTTTTATATAAAAAAAACCCACACCTTTTAAAAATTTATTTTTTTATACATTAGCATTTATACAAGATAATAATAATAGTAATAATAATAATAATAATAAAAAATGAAGTGGAAATATTATGATTATGATATCACACATTTAGTTGTATCTTTTTTATATTTTATTCTATCAATATTTTGTACATATAGTTTTATAAAAAGACCCAAAAAGCAACAGAACACTCAACAACTTATATTTTATCCATTACTTTTTTTAGGTGTTATAAGTAAGTTTAGCAATTGCAACAACAACAACACCTCAATAACAGAAATGATTAAATAATAACCATAATAAACTAATATTTCTTTTATTTTTACAGTTAGAGCAGTTTTTATGTTTTTACAACCATTTGTTAGAGAGGGCGAAATTGTTATACCAAATCAAGCAAATATTCTTTTAAATACATTACCATCATTTACATTCTTTAGTACATATTTAATAGTTTTATTCATATGGGTTGAGATTTATTTAATTTCTTATGGAAGTAGCATGAGATCTATCAAGGCCCTACCCATCATATTTAATGTGTTAACAGTTGTCATGTATACCGCATTAATAATATTATACGTTTTAGATTTTACTTTATACCCAATTCAACACAACCCAGTATCAGAATTTTCAACATTACCAGAGATGATCATAGGATATTACGATGTAGGATGTTTTATTTCAGCATCAGTCCTCTTCTTTTTCTTTGGACTTAGTTTAGTAATCAAATTTAGACACTCACAAAAGAACTTTGCAGAAGATAAAAGAAAAACTATTCTCAGAAGAATTACTTTGTTAACTGGTTTAATTTGTTTCTGCTTTTTATTAAGAGCAGCAATTACATTATTTGCATTGGTAGATTTAAATTTAATTTCATCTGTAAGTATTACTATTTTTAATAAATCATAATAATAATAATAATAATAATAATAATAATAATAATAATAATAATAATAATAATAATAATAATAATAACCTTTTATTTTATATCCCTATAGTATTGGTGGTGGTTTGATGGTGCTTATTATTGTGGTTTAGAGATTGTGCCATTGTGGATAATGTTATATTTACTTCAAATGGATAGAAATAAGACAAGAGTTGCTTCATCAGCAGAATATAATGAAAAAACTTCACTTATTAATCCAACTTAATTTATAATTATTGGTTTTATATAATAATAAATATAAAAATTATTTTGGTTTTAAATTAAAACTTTAATAATCAAAAAGAAAATAAAAAAAAAAATATAAAAAGAAGTTACTAAATAAAAAAAAAAAAAAGGATTTTAAATAATTATTTAAATAAAATAAATTTAAAATAGTATTTTTACTATTTTTTTCTTTTAAACCAATTAAAAGTTTTATTATTTTATTTATTTTGGGTTCTTACAGCCCATCTTAAAATTGCAGATTTTGATCTAGGGTTCCACTCTAATTCTTCATCGCTTGGGAAAATTGGTGATGTGTGTTTACTTGATTTTGGTAATTCGTATTTGATAACATTATTATTGTTTATTGTGTCGTAGTCTGACTTCAAACCATTGTTATTAAGGTATTGCTTAACTATTCTATCTTCCATTGAATGAAATGAAATTGCCAATAAAGGACTACCCGGTGACAGTATATCGTCGGCTTCTCTTAAACCGTATTTGATTTCACCCAATTCATCGTTAACATACATTCTTAGTGACCTAAATATTCTTGAGATAGTTTTGGAGGCTGCTGGATAGGGCATACAACATTCGACCACTTTGACCAACTGTGATGTGGTTTCAATTTTTTCACCAAATGCTCTTTTTCTTAATATTTCATGCGCAATCTTTCGAGTGTGTTTTTCTTCACCTAAATGATAAAATATATCCCTTAATTCTTGTTCTGAAAAAGTATTTACAATATCTGCTGCTGATAACTGTGATGTATTTTTATTATTCATCCTCATATCTAAAGGACCTTCTAATTCTTTTCTAAAATTAAACAGTAATAATTAGTACTCGATTGCTCTATTGTTTACTTTTTATAAAAATACTAGTACATACTTGAATGAAAAACCTCTTTCAGCAGTATCGATTTGATATGATGACACACCATAATCAAATAAAATACCTGATATTTTTAAATTTTCCAAGTTATGATCTTTAAGTGCTGATTTCATTGAGCTAAATCTACTACCAATTGTAATCAATCTATCTTTGTATTGAGTTCTTAAATCTTTGGTTAGTTCAAACACATTTGGATCTCTGTCGAATGCAATAACATAACAATCCTTGCAAGACTCTAAAATACCTCTGCTGTGTCCACCTAGTCCAAAAGTTGCGTCTATATAAACATTATTTGGTTTTGGGTCTAAAATTTCGAGTACCTCTTTGATAAAAACTGGTTTGTGAATTTTATAACTGTCATATTCTTTGGTTACATATGGTCCATTACCTGAACCACTATTTGATATTATAGATTCATCTTTATTTTCATTCTTTTTAATTTTTTTTGAAAAATTTCTTATAAATAAACAATAAATATTATTATTAATTAAAAATTTATTATTATTTTTACATAAAAACATTTCTTTTAAAAAAAAAATTAAAAAAAAAAAAAAAAAAAATATTTTTATTTTATTTATTTTTTTTCATTTAATTTGTAAAAACACAAAATAATTCTTTTTATTATATAAATGAAAAAACATTAAAATAAAAAAAAATAACATTAAATAAAATTTTTAAATTAAATTAAAATTTTACTAAATTTAAATTTAAAAATAATTTATTAAAATTAATTTAATAAAATTAAATTTTTAATTATAATCTTGTTTTTAAAAGGAAACATACAGATCTTTTTAAAAAATTTTAAGATTAAATAATTTGTTTAAAATAATTAAAAATGTGTACTAATACGATAGTTTTTGTCATTGATAAAAAAACAACACACAATATAAATACCAATGCCCTGTAAATATCTTTGTGTTTTTATAATAATATTTTTAAAATTACAATAATAATTAATTTTTATACATTATGTTTTTTTTTTAAAACAAATATTTTTTAATTAATAATAAAAAACAAAAATAACTATAACAATATTTATTTATTTATTTTTATATTTACAGTTTTATTTGAATCTTATTTTGTTTTTTATAATAATATGTTATTTTTATAAAAAAACTATAATAATTATTTTTATTTAATTTTTTTAAATTAATTTTTTAAAAGGGTACAATAAAATCATAGTTATATATAAAAAAAACATTTAGATAACAATACAATTATAAAAAAAATAGTAATAATAAATAATAAAAATAATAGTAACATATCAAAAATATAATCAAAATGCTGTCAATAAGTACTATTTTATTGTTCGTTATGATATTATTCCTCGCCTATAGGGGAATAGAGGTAGGATTATATTTATTTTATTTTAAAAAAATTTAATAATATGTATTAATTTCTATTTATTTTTTTTTAAAAAAAAAAAAGTATTTAATTTTAAGAAGATCATTTTCATTAGTACACCCAATAAAGGGTGTAATGAATGGAATTAAACCACACTTTATAATTGGTGATCTACCACTTCAACATTTATTCAACATTAAACCAAAATTAAAGAAATTGGGAGATATTTATTTTAGGTGGTTTTTTTGGTATCCCATTGTGGAAATCAAAGATATAAATTCATTACAATATGTTTATAATGAGCGTTCAAATAACTATAGTGTATATTGGAATCTTGCCAAATCTTCAAATTTTTTATTAACTGGTTCAGAAATTAAACGTTTCTTTAGAGTCTATTATTGTTCATTTAGTTGTACAGACTCAATGAATCGTATATTTCCAGTTATAAAAGATCAAGTAAACGATTATTTAAAATCATCATTATTTCAAAACTCGGTTCTATCCACTGAAAAGGATATACCAAATGTTTGTATAATATAATCTTTTTCAATATTCTTAATCAAATATTAATATCCTTTAATAATTCTATAGTTTATGTTAAAATTATTAGCAAGAGTCTATTTGGGTAGCGGCGATGAAGCATATTCTTGTTTGAAAGCAAACTATAAAAAATTTAATAGAACATATATGGATTTTATTCATTATTTATTCCCAAAACTATTAAAAATCCCAACCAGATTTTCAAAGAAGTATATGGTAATTATTTATTTACTTTGTAATATTTGTTATGAATTTTATATTAATTATTTATTTTTAATTTTAGAAAAATAAATATAAAAGATCATTGTATCAAGTTATAGCAATGAAGGCATACTATGGTGTTGTAAAGCAATCAGATAACGATGAAAGAGAAGATTCGATGATTAACATTATTGCAGAAACTAGCTACAATGATAAAGAGGGCTTATCATTAGATGAAATTAAAATGCCAACTTATTTATTAAATGGCTCTTCTATTAAGGGCCCAATTATCGAACTACAATCAATTATTTTTTTGTTAATGGAAAATCCTGAAGTCGAAAGTAAAATTAGAAAAGAGATAAAAACAGTTTTAAAAAAGAATGGTAGAACAATAGAAAACCTTACAGTAGATGATATTCAAGAAATGGTATACTTAGAGGCAACAATAAATGAAATAAATAGATTATATCCACCTTTCCCCAAACTAATACCACGTCAAACAAAGGAATCCGATAGAATTTTAGGTTATCACATCCCAAAAGGAACAATGATATCATGTCCCGTTGCGGATATTCTTAGAGATCCAAAAATATTCGATAGTCCAAATGAATTTAAACCCGAAAGACAGTTAAAATTTGCATCAAACCCCAAATTTGCATCGCCAAGTATATCATCAATTCAAGAGATTAACGAAACCAGAAATAAACACAAATCATGCCCTATTGACAAAATACTACCATTAAACATTGACTTAAACCATCCACAAAATAGCAAATTATCAGTATCAGATCCAAATGTAAAGATACCAACACTTCATAAACGTAGTACAAGTATTGGTGAAAAAACATATCAACACTCAACTCGTGTAGATGAACTAAAGGGCGATCCTTTAAATATTTCAAAACCTCAACCAAGCTTCCACCTACCTTTCAAACCTCAACCCAAAAGTACCTATCCATCCTGTAGTGCATTTTTGGACGAGAGCAGAAATAATCCAATAATTAATAATCAATACAACTCCTATAGCAACTTAACAACTGAAGAAAGAAATGAAAGAATAGTAAAAAATTTACCTTGGGGTATCGGTAGTAGAAAATGTTTAGGTAAAGAATTAGCAAAATTAATAACCAAAACAATTATAGTTGTAATGTATTCTCAATATACTTTTGAAAGATATACACCCCCAACACATCATTATTTTAATATCTATAATGATGAATGCCCACAACCACAAAAATCAAAAATAGAAATTACAATGAATCCAGAAATTAAACCCCCTCTTTTGTTTAAATCTAAAAAAATTGTTCCCACATCATTAGTTTTACCTAATAATTAAAAAAATAATAATAAAAAAAATAATAAATAAAAAATAATAAATAATAAAAATAATGAAAAAAATAAAAAAATAAAAAAATAAGATAATATTATTTTTTTAAAAATAAATTAAGTAGTTTAAATATTTATTTTTTTTTTTTTTCTTAAATTTTTGAGTATTAAAAAAATATTTTTATTTTTCTATTTAATTTTTTTTTTTTTGTTTTTTTTAATTTTTTTTTTTATTTTTCTTTTTGTTTTTTTTTTTTTTTCTAAATTATATATTTAATTTAAAATTTTATTTACTTCTATCAAACAAATAACAGTTTTTTTTTTTTAAGTTATTAATTTTTTAAAAATAAATTTAAAAAATAAATTTAAAAAAAAAAAATTTCTTTGATATTTTTTAATTTTTTAATTTTTATTTTTTATTTTTTAGTTTTTCTCCTTACCACTCATTAAAATTGTTATTGTTATAATAGAAATTAATAACTATAAACTAGATTAGAAGCAATAATAAACCACCACAACATTAAAATATTAAAACTTTAAATTTTGTTATTATTTGTATTACACTTTTTTTTTTTCTATTTAACATAATAATAAACTATAAATATGGGTGATGTTAATTTTTTACAAAAAGCAATTCAAATAGTACAACAGGCTACAGAACAGGATAACGCAAAGAACTATGCCGAAGCACATAAATTATATATTCAAAGTTTAGATTGGTTTACAACAGCTTTAAAATGTAAATTTACATAAAAAATAATAAATACAACATTATTTACATATAAACTAACCCATTAATCTCATTTTTAAATATAGATGAAAAAAGTGAAAAGTCAAAAGCAACTATTAAAGCAAAAACTTTGGAATACTTACAAAGAGCAGAACAATTAAAAGAATATTTAGATAAATCAAAAAATAAAAAACCTGTAGCAGTTGGTGGTAGTAAAACCAATGGTAATACAAATAAACAAAAAGATGAAGATGAGGATATGGATCCAGAGGATAAAAAGAGAAATGACTCACTCTCAGGCGCAATTGTAACAACCAAACCAAATGTTAAATGGGATGATGTAGCTGGTTTATACCAAGCTAAAGAATATTTAAAAGAAGCTGTAGTTTTCCCAATTAAATTCCCACAAATGTTTACAGGTAATAGAAAACCTTGGAAAGGTATTTTGTTATATGGTGTAAGTAGTTTACAATATAATAGAATCTACAATAAACAATAATATTAATTTAAATTTTAATAACCTTATTTTTAGCCACCAGGTACTGGTAAATCTTATTTAGCAAAAGCTGTTGCAACTGAAATTTCATCAACATTCTTTTCAATTTCACCATCAGATATTGTTACAAAATGGTTAGGTGACAGTGAAAAATTAGTTAAGCAGTTATTTGAAATGGCAAGAGAGAAAAAAAACAGTGTTATTTTTATTGATGAAGTTGATTCATTATGTTCATCCCGTAATGATCAAGAATCAGAATCAGCAAGACGTATCAAAACTGAATTTCTTATTCAAATGAATGGTGTTGGTAATGATTCAGATGGTATTTTAGTTTTAGCCGCTACAAATATCCCTTGGGGTTTAGATTTAGCTATTCGTAGACGTTTTGAAAAGAGAATTTATATAGGTCTCCCAGAACCACAAGCCAGAGCCAAAATGTTCCAACTCCATATTGGTCAAACACCAAATACTTTAAATCCTGGAGATTATAAAAAATTAGCCGAACTCACTGATGGCTATTCAGGTTCTGATATTGGTTCATTAGTCAAAGATGCAATTATGCAACCTGTTCGTGCTGTTCAAACTGCTACTCACTTCAAAAGAGTAAGAGCACCATCAAGAGAGGACCCCTCTGTTATGGCTGAATTCCTTACTCCATGTTCACCAGGTGATCCTTTAGCTGAAGAAATGACTTGGGTTGATATTGAAGGCTCACAGCTTAAAGAACCAGAAATTACTCTTGCCGATTGCTTAAAGAGTATTAGAGCTATTAAACCATCAGTTAACAAAGCAGATTTAGAAAGATATGTCGAATTTACTAACGATTTTGGTCAAGATGGTGTTTAGATAATATAAATAATAATAATAATAATAATAATAATAATAATAATAATAATAATAATATAATCAATAATTTTGAAAATATTAATATATTTTCCAATTTAATCCTCCTTTAATACCTAAATTTGTAAAAAATAAATAAAAAAAAACTATAAAACTTTTTTATAATGTTTATATAAAAAAATTAGATCAAAAAATAATTTTATTTAATTTCATTTCTATTTACATTTCTTTTTTTCTTTTTTTTATAAATGAAAAGAAAAAAAAGAATAAATAATAAGTTGTAACTATTTTATTTTTATCTTTTATTATTACTATTTATTATTACTTTATGTTTTTTTTTTTTTATTGATATAATTTATTATTTTATTAAATAATTTTTTTTGTTATGATGAAGATGATGATGTTGTGGTAGTTGATGAATTTGAATTTTTGCTGGCCTCTTCATCGATTTTTGGGAGCTTTGAATTAACTAAAAGGGCTGGATTTTCATAATACTGAAGTTCATCATCATTTAACTTACCTTCCTTTTGTAACTCCATATAAGCTTGCCAATTTTCACGATTTTGGCTAATTACTTTGAGCAAGAATTTACTTTCACCTAAAAATTTAGCCATACACTGGAATAACGGTGAGGCAACAAAATCGATAAAGTCTGCGGCAATCCTAGCTCTTGTGGTTTTGGTTTTATCCATAAATGGTGTAACTGGGTAACCACAAATAGTTTCGTAATGAGATTGTTGAAAAAACTCATCAGATACTCTTAGGGACCATTCAAAATTTAAATGCCATGGTCTTGCAATATTTGAAATATCACCACACTAAAAAAAATATATTAGTAAGTCATTATAATTTTTTTATTATTATTAGAATCATATCTATATATACCTTTATTAAAAAATTTAGAATCATTTGTCTATCTTCTTTTTTATTTCTATCAAATGGCAAATTATTTAAATGATGTTGAAATTTATTTATATATTCAAAATGACTTTGCATATCAGTTGCTAAAATTAATTGAACTACTGACCTTCTTAACTCTTTATATTGATCCTCATTAAGACCTTCTAATATATTACATTCGCTATTTCTTAAAATTTTAAAAGTTAACATTGCATGATGGTTCTAAAAAGAAAAAAAAAAAAATTTGATTAATAAATATTTAAAAAATTGAATATTAAAATTTAAATACCTACCTCTAATACTGAGATATCATTATATTCTAAAGACAATTCTGTTTGAGCATTTACTTGGAATGTGTTGTTAAAACCTGGATGATTTAAATCATGGCACATACAGGAGATTAATAAAGCAAGAACGTCCAAATGGGTTAAATATTGAACTGCATTGAAAGAAGTTAAAAATGTATAAACGATTTGGGTTACGTCGAATGCATGCATAAAATTGTGATATCTATTATTTTTTCTGTAGAGTGCATTAACTGTCATGATGAATCGTTGTAACTTTTCGATTGGGATTTTAAAGATCTCTAATAATTGGAAATTTTCAAACATATCTACTAAAAATGGCATCAAATCATCTTCTGAATATTTAAAGACATCAAAGTCCCAACCCTTGATACCCTCTTTGGTGTCCTTGGTATAGTTTGTTTGTGGGAATGTTGGTATTGAATTTCTACGGCTTGTGGTGGAAGAGAACTCTGAAACCAAAAACGACTTGGTAACTGGGTCGACAGAGTCATTCTTAATTAATTTTTCAAAGGATGGTCTATAAATATTGGATGATGAAAGTTCTTTTAAAATGGATGTTAACTTTTCTTTTATTTCTGATTCATGGGATGACCATGTACTTTGTTTCAAAAGTCCTTCGATATTTCTTGTAACTGATACCAATGGTGACTCCATGGCCTCTTTTGAAATTGTTGACATTTTTGAAACTTTTTTAGTTAACTCTTCGATTTCGTGTTCTTTTAACTCCATTTCCTTTGCCAATCTTGTTCCCTTTTCTCTTTCTTGCGCCAAAGATGCCTTATATTCTTCCTCCTTCTTTCTTTGCCAAATACTTTGCAATACTGTATCAATTTTCTTTTTTAATAATTCTTTTGCAATTGGTTTAGTTAAAAAATCTTGGCCACCAATTTTAATTGTATCATTGGCATATTTATAATCCACTGCTGTTCCTGACATTACTAAAAAATGTATAAATATTAATTAATGTTTTTAAATTTTTATTG